TCATGTGGAAAATGAAAACAAATCATTATCCAAAAATATTTGGTTCTTTTTATTTTTATTTTTTACTATATTATGTACGACGTGGTGTGGCTGACTACAAAAAATTACAGACCTATAAGAGAAAGCCAGTAAAGCATATCTCGTTGTGAAACATTAATCAAAACTTTGGTCTCTTTCTGACTAATGTGGTTAGTTAATAAATACCAAGGTGCATTCCCTTTTCTAAGAAATCTCGGGTTTTATGATTTGTTCACTCAAAGTAAACATTTTCCACTGTGGAACCCACCATCTGTTGGACCTCAATTTTGACCTGATTTGCCTTCATGTTTTTTCTGCAAAATATAATTTACCACTCAACAAGAGTAGAAGGAATGGTAACAGCAAGCATGTAGCCATGTGTCCATCTACTTAGGGAGCATCTGGCAGTTTAAGTGTGGTTTAGGATCTGCTTACATTACTAGAGTTAACAAGTTTCAATGAGTGTGTGACTGGCAACATTATTAGTCCACAGTCACACTTTTTTTAATATCTAGAGGTGAGGACAAAGGCTGTTCATGGTAGTTATCAAACTTGTCTTTAAATTCCCATGATTTAATTACCTAAGATCTAACAGATCATAACCATGGCTCTTATCCTTGTTGACCTCATTGCAATTATATTAAGGCACTGAAGATTACAATACAATGCTTGCACCTGTTTTGAATAAAGTATTTTAGTTAAAATATTCAATTTTAAGAAGTCCATTCAAATAATGAAATACAAAAAAGACAAAATACCACCTAGCAGATTGTTCTCTTTGAAGCGTGGCTGGTGGGATGAATTCTAGTTCTAATTTCACCTAAACTATTACTCAAGATGACTCAGTTTTTCAAACTATAGGACAAGTGGTTGTAGTCATTTTTAATGTATTAGTATTAGTTTGAGTTATGTATTCAAACGATTTTATATTGGACTTGATACCAAATGCTCATCTGATTTAAGACCTTATCAATGATGTTGCACCTAAATAAATATTTGTGAAATTAATTTTGTCGTATTCGCTAAGTGTGAACTGGACCAAGATAAATAACAAATGTGATGAAAATGTTGCTGTTCTTGCAATGAGTTTTGCTCCATGGGTTACACTTTCACAGTTAACACTACAGTTAGTTGCTATTTCCATCTATTTCTATGTAACACCACCCACATTAATGACCCTTTGATTCTAAGATGGAGCCTACTTAATCCAAATATTGCATCCATGTAATGCAAGTTGGTAGTTCTTTTCATTCCCGTGCTAATTATTCAGTTCCAGTATCCCAAAACTAAAGCAGATAGTACAGCATGCAACAAAACCCACTTCTGTTTTCTTTTTTTTTACTTGCATAATAGAAAGCCTACCTGTACAGATGGAATGGACCAGAGGAATATGTTCTCTGCTTGTATGTGTTTGTGCAGGTGGGTTTCTGTGTGTACTTCTGGGAGGATACACAGGCATATGAGTGTATAAATGTGCTATGGCAGCAGTGCCTACTGACTGCAGGCCATTTTAATGAATAGCACCATTCAGTGCAAGACATGAAGGAGACAAATTGGCTGAAAACACTTCCTTCCATGAGGGGCTCCAGCTGGTTGGTGAACTGTTTTCTGGCTGGCTGGCAGACTGACTGGAGTATGTATGGTAAAAGGCAAGGATGAGCCTTACTCCCCTTTATTGGCCATCAGAGTGCTAGGATAGAATAACAACTTCCCTATTGTTGCTCATAAATCAAAATCACTAAATAGTGTTTCCAGCTCAACTTCTATATTTGACTGCAGGGCCATTGCTATAACTTTGGTGTAATGATCATTCAATTACAGGCCACTCAGACAGAGGGCAAAGAAGACAGATAGAAAAAGCAATCCCCTATCTATCATGATTTTCTTCTGGGCCATGTGGGAATTGCTACAACACCCAATATCATCTAGTTTGTCAGTGCTTGCATGAATGCATTTCTCACATACTATCTACCTCTGTTTACTTGGTTGTCTATGTGTCCTATCTAATGCCCCATGCACTAAATTACTCCTTCAGACACACTTTGTCTTTCTCTTAGCCACATCCTGGCTGTCTCTGTGCTACTCCACCATCTCTGTCCCCTTTTTCTAAACTCTGAATATACTCTGCCTCTTTTTTTATTTTATTTTTCTTATAAGATTGAACAGCTAAGCAAAAATAGTGACTACCTCATCTTCTTCCCATTAATCATTCTGCTATTCCAAAACAAAGACAGATCCTGTGTATTTAGGACTGCGCCAACGTTTTACCTCTCACCAATACCACCTTCATAGAATGCCTTGTTCATTAAGTAATTTCTGGTCAGCACAGCGGCACAGTTGTTAGAGCTGTCGCCTCACAGCATGAGGGTCACAAGTTCACCGTCAGCCTTTCTGTGTGGAGTTTGCATGTTCTTTCGGTGCATGTAAGGGTTTTCTTTGGACACACTGGTTTCCTCCCACAGTCTAAAAACATGCATGTTAGAATAATTGGTAACTTGAAATTGTCCCTAGGTGTGAATGAGAAAATGAATGGTTGTTTGTTTTGATTGTTTCTCAATTTGACCCCATGGTGGATTTGCAACTTGTCCAGTAGTGTCCTGCCATTCACACAGTGACTACTGGAGTTTTCCTGCTTCCCTGTGACCTGGGAAGGAAAAGTTGGATAAGGAAAATGGATGGATGGATGAAGTTATTTCAGCTAATCTAATGATTATGTTAGGGCAGGATTGTCTAAAGAAAAATGGTAAACCAGGGCTGTCCAAACATGGTCCTTGAGGGCCACTATCCTGCATGTTGTATAAGTTTATCTGCTCCAGCATACTTGATTTGAATCATTGTATTAACAGACTTATGTAGATCTTTAAAAAATGTAATTCAAACTTTGAATCAGGTGTTTTGGAGCAGAGCAATGAGTACAACATGCAATATAGTGACCCTCAATGACCAGAATTTACTACCCCAGAACTAAACAATATAAGTTCACTCCCTTAAGAAGTCATTAAGTTTATCAGCTGTATAATATTACCACATGGAAACCGAGGCCTCTTTTTTTAAGTTTCATGACAATTTATGTCACACTGGATAAAAATTGTTGTGGCTGAGCGCAGCTGAGGTTGAGTGGTTAGAGCAGTCGTCCTACAATGGGAGAGTTGGGCGTTTGATTCCACCAGCAGTCACGTGCTGAAGTGTCCCTGGGCAAGACACTGAACTCCTCATTGCCTCCGATGTGTCCCATCAGTGCATGGATGTGATAAAGCACTGATTAGTTTTTGTAAAGATGTAGTAGAGTGCTGTATGAATGGGTAAATGAGGTCATAGATTGTAGTGTAAAGCACTTTGAGTATATTGATAAGATAGAACGGTTCTATATAAGTACATTCCATTTACCATGTTTTCTTATCTTTGAGGATTTAGAACGTTATCCCTGTGTATGTGTAGGTTTACTCTGGGTACTGTAGTTTCTTCTCCAAAACCAAAATGCATGCATGCTAGATTATTTGGTAATTATAAATGGTTCCTAAGTGTGAGTGAGAGCGTGAATGGTTGTCTACACATCTCCTTAACAATAAAGTATTGACATGCAGACCAGAATGCAATAATTTAAACATTGTCTATAGCCAAGTGATAAAAACTACTTATTTTTTTTGTCTTGAACTTGATAGCAGCAAAACATTTAAACAAATAGACAAGACCACGTTTACCACTCCAAACATAGTTATGCATTATGGAATAGAGATGATAAACGTTTCATGAAGCATGCTTAATATCTCTTTCATGTTTCAATTGAGATATATTGGCATGTCCAGATTCAGATGTTGTTGTTTTTTTTTGTTGTTGTTTGTTTTCTTTCCCAATTGTTTCCAACTGAATAAACAAATTGTTTTCAGTGGTTACAAGTCTTGGATGGAGGCATGCTAAATGAAATGTTTTATCAGTTTAAACAGAGCACCACTGTTATATCCAATTTTGTTTTGTTTTGTTTTTCTTAATGTAACAGTTACAGTCTTCCAAAAAATAATGAAAGAAACAAAAAAATGCATGTATACATGCAAGTATATGTTACTTTTAATTTTATAATTTAACAACAGAGGTAAGCTTTCTAACTTCATACTATATGTTTTCCACGATAAAATGGCACAATGGTGCATTTTTAAAACATTGTTGCCATCTTTGACTTTATCAGAATGATCTTCTCTCCTCTTGCATCCACAGGAACATAGACATGAATACATAAATCACTGTACTGATACATTTTAAATGATTTACGTAATTCCAACAATCTATTTGGTGCCAGTGAAATGGAAGTAATTTGGCAATACTGCGGTGTGTTGACACCAATTAATCCACTTTGTTGCTACTAATCCAGTGGATTTGCTGCTGAAGGTTCATATCCTCTATGGTAATAATACATTTGCATGTACATTAAAATTAGTTACTAAAATTAAGACCAAAACGTAACCAAGGTTCCGAAAGCAAATCCCTCTTTTACCTCTTTGCCAATCGAAAACACGCAGGCAGCTGTCAGTTTTTGCCACTGGTCAAGTAAGCTCTCCAGTTGGAAATGGCTTTCACTGCTGTCAAAAGTGTCTCCTGTTTTAACACATCACGATGAGGAGGTGGAGGTGTGAACTACCTGGATGGGGTTCCCACAAGAGTTTCACAAATTTTTGCGGACAACATTGACAGCTGGTGTCTGAATAAAATTAGATTTCAAATCCAGCCCTGGATGAACGCAAGCGTTCACAGCAAGAGCAAACCAGAGGAAGCTGTTACATCATACCAATCTGCATTAGCTCTCATGCACAGGCAGATGTGGAAGGATACGAAACTGAGTAGGTGTATAAGTGTGGGCGTTGTTATGCTTAAACCAATATGTTTGAATATATGGACAGATTAAAATTATTTATACTCTGCCTAAATGGAAAATCCAGTTTTCTTAACTTATTTAACCTTGTCTTTTTTTCTTCTTTTTTGTCTTGTAGGGATGCTGTCTAAGAGTCTTCCAGGAAAAAAAAACAGTCAAACACAGCTATTCTTCCTTACGTCCCCAACACATACAACCACCCACACACACACACTCACACACACACACTTGCACAATAGATCTGCACATTATGATACATGGCAGACACTTGCCAAGCACTCTTATGCAGCCTCAGTGAAGTCTCTTTTCAAGTAGTCCCATGAAATATGTGTTTTGAGAGCAGATGGACCAAATCCTCTTTCCAACTTGACCAGGAAGCTCAAAGTCATGTGGGGCCTCAATTCCAACTACTGCTTTCATTTTTTATTTTTTTCCTTTTATTCCCCAGTGTTTAAAAAGAGCTACATGTTAGGACTCTTTACACTGTATATATATATATATATATATATATATATATATATATATATATACCTGAGTTGATGAGATACAATCTATTTGCCTATGAAGTTGCAAAGCTAAAACTGACAAATACACATAGAAGGATACTTTTGCAAAGTATTAATTCATTTGTATATGCAACATGCATGCACCTTGAGTACTTTTACTACTTTGTTAGAAATGGCACATTCCCTGATTGTTTGAAAATCTATGAAAAGAATGTAGTCCTGGCTTTTATGACTGGATCCTTTGTGTTTCACTGACTTACAAGGGAAAAAAAAATAAACTTGTTTTTTTACTTTATTCATTCAAAGCGGAATTTTACAGTACATTCATTTATTCGTTCGTAAGTTTGTTCATTTGCTTTGCTTAATGAGTGTAAATGTTCAAACAAACCATATGGTGTCTTTTAGGGAGGCACTTCGGTACAACTGAATTTTTGCTCTGACATGTTCAAACAAAAAGAGAAATGTGCAGATACAACAACCAAGATAAAATACAGACTCAAACTCGCTCACATAGTGTTTATTACACATTATACCCTGATGAATTCAATGTTGTGATGTATTTTTTATTTTTTTATTTACAGAAGTAAACTTAATCCCCAGTTAGACATACATCCCGTTGCTTTAATCTGTCAAATACTGAAACTTTGACTTGAGTTGAAATGAACCCCTTGAGTCTTCAAAAAAAAAAAAAAGTTCCAACAAGAATCTTGTTTCATTCTCGTAACAGGAAATGTCAAAAAATAAACACGGATAAACAAGGAAGTGATATTCTGGGGTATTGTCAGGTTGATGGAGAGATACTGCAGCTCTTCAATAGATAAATACATGTGATGTCAAAAACATTTTGTTTTCCATGTTCACAAGCTTCATCACATTTAAATAATTGGGGGAAATATAATTTCTTTAGTCTGTTTTTTTATTGTCTAAAATAATGAAATGGCGAATATATTTAGAAGCTGTTCACTAATTGGCAAGGCTCATTTATTTAGTTAGTTTTTAAATTGCAAAGAAACTTCATTATCCACTACTAATTTAAATAATCCTGAGACCTGACATTTTTATATGTGATGTTTGTTATGAAAATGATTTTTTTATTGCCGATGTGTAATTCTGCACAGCCTTATCTGTAGTTCAGCAATGGATATTCTATTACATTATTTATTGCCACCTCATATTCGAACCTGGTAACAACCCATATTTGTCGTTCCTTTTCTGGCTATGTCTTTAGGAACTGACACTTATAGCATTTTTTTCGTCTTCATTAATTTCATTAAACATAATGTAATAATTGCAGCTGGAGTTATATTCCCAAATTGACTGCCAATGAAAACCATTGCTTGTGGTTTTCATTAAAAAAGCAGCAGAAATAGAAAATTAAATCTATTATGAAACTGCTGTATTCAAAATATCCATGTGTATTCTTTTTGATCCAGTTGACTGGATTTGCATGTGATTATCCCTTGTTTTAATTGAACTAAACTGGTTCTATGATAGAGCTACACGGCATCTAAAAATATGATGGTCCGTTTTATTTTAGTTTTTTCCTCTTGGGTGAGCCATTATCCATGATATCCTCTTTACAAAAATGCATCTTGTTAGTAGTAAAATGTTAAATAAAAAAATAAAAAAATAAATAAATAATTCAGAATATGACATACAAAAAAAAATGAAAGGATTACAGTGTGGTGCCAAATTAGCCCTGAAAATTGTGCAAGTCCATGCACTGTTTGACGTTTGTGTTTTTATTTTATTTTATTTTATTTATTTATTTTTTTATAGGAGTGCACAATAAAATAGTAAAATAAAATATGTTCACTGGTGGAAAGTATTTGTGTTCTTATACACTTCTGAACAAACAAATTTCAAATACAATTTTTTGGGAAATTTAATGCAAAAACTAATATATTTTTGTGTATTACTGGTTGATTGACTGACTGATAAGTTGATTACTTTCATTCTTGAGATGTGTGCCTGATTTAAGATTCAGGCGCAGACTAGCAGAATGGTGCAGCGCATTTCATTGACATTGATAAAAACATACAGCTATGCCTAAGTTTAGAATTAAAAATATGCAATATAATGTTACGAGTTTACAAAGCTTTATTAAGAAACAGGCAGTTTAAAGACATCAATGGGTCTTTGAGTCTAATGCTTTTGTCATAATGCCAATGAGTAGACTTTATGAAATAATTATTAATGCATTATTTAGTATTTTCAATAAATATAGCATTAATAATAATAATAATAATAATAATAATAATAATTATTATTATAATAATAATTCCTACAAAAAATATAAAGTTTATAAGATACAGTACTGTGTTTTGAGTCAAAAATAAAAAAAAATACATTTAAAAAAGCTTAATAGCAGTTATCTTACAAAGTCTATCCTTAATATCTGATTTGCAAGCATTGGATCTGAATGCATAAATACATCCCCCACTTGACAATGAGAAGATTTATGACACCAGCTTTGTGCTTTGTAAGAAAATTGTTTTTTTTGCTGTTGCATATATTATGATTATTTTTTTATTCCCATGTGTGCACCAAAAAGCCAAAAGAACAGTATTAGCCAGTATTACCTTCCAGCTATTGTTTTAATTTTATTTTTTTTATTTGTCTCCTCTTCATTCATCACTTTTTCCTTTATGTTTTACAAAGACTTAAGACATAATTTGCTTTTTTTTTTTTTTTTTTTTTTCCTGCATTGCCTTGGTTGTTCTGCAGGAAAATCTCACTACCAATGAATTTATAACTTATACTAACTTGAAAAAAAAAAAAAAAAACTAATAGCTTTTTCCCAGTAAAGCATCAGAGGGCTGATGAGCTTTCATAACTAGCACTGACTGTCTATTCTCAGAATCAGCTTCAGTCTAACAGGCATACAGTAATAAACAGCAGGAAGGCTGTGAAGTGTGTTTGTGTGTGCAAGTGAGCAGCCTCTCAAAGATCCAATCAGTCTGCCCTTTGACCCTAGCCTGGCTGCTTAGCTCCATAACACCACTGCAAGAGCCACTCGCATGGCTTTTGGTGTGCTACTTAGTGTTTATGGATGTATAAGGTTGTGACTTCTATGCAGTATTGATGACTTTTGGTATAATAGATGTAGTCATAAACTGTCCTTTGACCCACAATGTTTAATTTTACTATGTCATATTTTGATGTAGCTTGTGTTTTTCCATTTTTTCTTCAATGATTGCCAGGTTTTTTGACCTAATGATTGTGGTCAGCAGAGAAAATACATGAAAAGCTTTACACTTAGTTTGGGAATATGATTATTTCAACGAGTTTGTGGTCAGACACACTTCATTAACAGTTCTCACTGGTTCAAATCCTAGCTTTTGTGTTTTTTTTAATTACTTGATTTGTTAAACATTGCTCTCCAGCACTTTTATTTTTTCCTAATAAAATAATATATGCAGTGTCAGGTCTGCCATGCCCTGGTAATGAGTTAACCTATGTCCACTTTCTCCACAGGACTGTATATTACTATGCTCAATAAAGCTGGAATGACTAAAAATGCATGTGCTTCTCCACTTTGTACTAAACAGCAAAAGCTCAGGAAGACATATAGATAGATAAGGAATTTTAGAGTTGTTTTTTTATTATAGATTTTAGCAGTATTGTGTTCCATTCTAAGGCTATATAAATTATATATTTTGCATGAAAGGTGTTTTCTATAGGATCCTATAATGTATTATAGTAAAACTAAACTCATAGTATGTGTTAGATTGTGTAATTTGTTCATACACATGTGTTTTCCTTTCTTAAGATTAGTATGAATACATTTTGCTAAGACATTTAAAAATATAATGCGAGAATAAATATAAAAATGTAATGCTGTATTTAGCTGTATTTATAGTACTTACACTATGAAAATTCAGAGTATCATCTCATTAAATATTAATAGACTAAATAAGCTTTCTTTACCACACCCACAGACCAAATGATATAAAATGTTATGAGGGAGATGCTGAAGACAGAATTCAACCAGTAACTCGCACATCTCACACTAGAGTACCCTGCACATATAAAATAGACAAAGTATTAATAGAAGTATGTTTATTTTGTAATTGTAAAACATCATAAAATGTATAATGAGACTGACACAAAGCTTTAAACACTTCTGCTCCCTAATCTATACAGAGTAATGAAAACTCCTTTCTTTCTCTCTCCCCCCGCCCACACACACACACTTTGTTTTCTACAAACAAGTACCAATAAAACAGGGACTGAGGGGTACAATTTAATTCTGTCTGATTTATTTGAAAACATGCATGCTTTTAGTAATGTCCTAGCGTGGGTCATCATGGCCAATCATGAAAGGGTACAGTGCCATCTATTGGTGCATAACCTGAATCCTCTCTCTTTTCCATAACCTTCTCTTTGCTCTCCCTCACCCCCACAGATGCACTGGCGCTCAACTCCTACACACTGGCTCACCATATGCTTTTATGCATGCACAAAAGACAGAAAAAAAAAATCACAGTTTAGACAGTGCATGCTGTAAAAGCAAGCCCACAAAAATGACATTTAGAAAATATCCTGGCATGTACATGTGCAAATACATGTACACACACATGCACGCATATGTGTAATATCAAAGCACACATAAGCTAAATGTCTGCTATAATTTTTTTACAAGGAACAGAAAAATAACTACAAAATTATAACATTTTTAGTGGTATATCCATCCATTCATCCATTCATCCATTATCTTCACCTGTTTTTTTTAATTATTTTCAGGTTGAATGGGGTCACTGGTGCCAATGTCCAGCAGTCACTGACTGTACGAGAGGCAGGGGACAGTGGACAGGTCTCCAGTCCATC